TCATGAATACTGCAGGTCTCCTTGAAGGCAGGTGATTTATTCCACTTTACAGTTCAGTAATGTGCCCAAACACAGTGGCAAAGTCCGCATTTAGGTTTCGATTTTCTTTGAATTGGAGGCCCATATCCTTCTAACTACAAAACTACCTTTCCAATTGAGAGAGATTTACCATGACAATACCCTTCCTTTGGAGGGTTTGCTTGTCTGCATAACCCTAAGTGAATGTCCATTAATTTAGTGGCCAAAGAATGCTTAAATATTAAGTTGAATATAGAATAACAGGGACCTGGAGCCCAAACCTCACCACACTCCATACAGACTTGTTCAACAATTTCATGTGGGCTGGTAACACCAACCTGTCAAGAATTTAGTGCTCTCATTTTCAAGCTAAAGTGAATATACCTTAAAGATTTAAAGTTGAGATACATGATTTTTTTCTGGTGAGAAATCAAAAGAAGGGTCTCATTTCAAGAGATCTTAGAACTGTAGAGGAAGATGAAATTCAAGAAAGTGGATTTGGATAAAAATGATATTTCAGCCACCCAATAGGTGTTGACTAAAGTATTTCAGGAACTCAGTGAGCAGGTCTTCAGTGATATAAACTATACTTCACTTGGTCTGGAAAAAAATTTGAGAGGTGGAGGATCAGAGGGAAGAAGTCTCGGGCTTGGAGAGCTCCAGCCTGGGAAAGGGAGGAAGGTGGCCACAGTGTGAGGCCTGAGAAGTGAAGCCAACGTGCAGCGTTAGAGACAAGCTTACAGTTTAAGTTAACCACCTGAGTAAATGACAGTGGGAGGAGATTGCTAAATTAGTTTTCAGAACTAAATGTGATAGAGTGCTTCATTAATATTCACCGTCAGTTCTTTGTCATTTGTTAGACTATTTGAACAGAGAAAGCAGCATAATAACATTTTCCAGATGCTCCATGTGGGTTATTTAATTTACATTGTAGATAAAAATAGATCTGATTTAACTTTCCTTATGATTCGTTAAACTGCTAGATCTTTGCCTGTAGGATTAAAATGAAAATTAAATTTTTAAGAGAAAATCACTGATTATATTTTGCTTTTAGATTAGTGGATTCTAATTATTGCATTAAAGCAGAAGGTGGCAAACTTTTTCTGTAAAGGCGAAGATATTAAATATTTTTGACTTTATAGGCCAAATAGTCTGTCACAATGACACAGCTCTGCCGCTGTGTTACAGAAGCAGCTATAGGCACATGTAAATGAGTGAGCATGGCTATCTTTCAATAAAACTTTATTTATGGACAGTGAAATTGAATTTTATTCAATTTTTATCTGTTATCTGAAATATTTGTCTTTTGATTAATAAATTTGTATTATCACGGTCTCTATAAAAATAGGTGGAGAGCTGGATTTGGTTCACAGCCATAGTTTGCTGACCCCTGAATTAAAGGATTTAAAAAATGGTCTGGTTTTCTCAGTCGTCCATAATGTTGATTTGATCATAGGAGGGCGTCTTGTTTTGTTGTAATGGAGAGGTTTCCTTACATTACACACTTGAAAAACTTTCAGCAGCAGTTCTCAATTCTGCATCTGAATCACCTGAAGAGCGTATTAAAATGGAGATCGCAGGGTCACCTCCCTGAGTTCCTGATTCAGTAAATCTGTGTGGGGGCCAAGAACTCGCATTTTCAACAGATGAGGCTGGTGCTGTTATTCTGGGACCACACTTAGGGGATCACTGGTTTAGAGATCATCCTGGGAACAATGAGGTTGCCTCTTTTACTCAGTGTCCTTAGAGGAACTATTCACTCTTCTACCTAGATGATTTCTTAGAGACATTCAAAATTCGAATGGTTCAAAGACCAAAGATAATTGGAACCAAATTTATAACTTCCCTGTCTACTGTAGTATTTTTCCTCCATTAATTTCTGTTTTAAACATTTAAAACCTAGAGATTGTTTTACAACAGTG